AGAATGTGGGAAACAACATTGGGGCATTTGTCACCGCCTGTCAGGAGCTTGTTTTAGATGTGGACAGAAAGGACACTTGGCTAAATCTTGCCCACGAATTCATCCGAACAACAATAGGCCTGATGCTAGTGCAACTGACTCTATTCCTTTACCCTAGTTCCAGAAAATGCTCGGACTACTAAAATGAGTGACGCAGGTATTACCTTAATTATGTGCAATTGTTTATATGGGAATTTGTGTGGAAGTGTACATTCCTTAACCTGATTTAGATTGTGGACATGTTGATTGGACCAATTGAATTATTAAAATTTCGAACCCTAGTTATTGACTATCTTGAAGACTCACTATTTAATGTAAATTTTATGTGAGATGCTCGGAACCTTATGAATTTAACGAATCATCTGTGCTATGAGAATTTTTGGGGCTTGTGAACAACGAGAATTTACTAGGTTAGATCTTTGTACCGTAGTGCAACAATTTAATGTGAACTGTTAGGTACGACCTTTTGAACTATGCTAGAACTATCGAACGTGGGAATATATTATGATTGCCTATAATTTGAGAAAATCTGTATGACCGTGACTTGAACTGAACCGTTATATATTGACTGACATCATTGAATGATTAGACCCATGAACTCGAATTATATACGTGAACCATCGTGTGTGGAACTTCTGAAATTGAGAACTTAGGTCAGGTTGGAAGACTGAACCTTTGCTTATGAATTTGAGAACGAATGCCTAAACGATAATTGATTCTAGACTCGTATCCGTACACATATGTCCTTGCTTGTACACTTTGAGACCTACTGCCTGATGTGAACTATGTGTGACGCTTTAGACCCTTTGTTTAACAACTACCTATGCTACAGAGAATGTTTGGACTTATGTATATGCATATCTATGCTTGTGGAGGTTATTAGACTTTGGACATACACATATATGATTGTACCTTTGCTCAGAATGATTGATATGTTATTTGTTTTGATAATTTGACCATTGAGACTACGACTCTGGGATTGTATGACTAAGCAAAGACCCCATGTGATAACCTCTAAACTGTGGACTGTGATTGTTGAACATTGACAGGATTGTTTGACTAGACCAGTGAGCCCATGCTTTAACGACTGTATGACCAATTTGAAACTTTTGTATAACAATCTGCTATTGTGTACCTTATGCTTACATAAAAAGCTCATTTGGAAAATTGCTATATTGACTGTAATGCTTACCTCTCGATGTAAATAACTGCATGCCTGTGCATTTACCTGTAAAATTATTGGGAGGAAACACATTGTATATGACCTAAAACACTTTGACATGAACTATTATGGTACATGACTCTGATGTGACTTTGAGAATTGATAAACTTAGACTAATTGTGAAACTACTAACTATGCACCTAAGCGAATGGAGTATGAACTAGAGAACCAAATGTGCTTCGTTTGAAAATGATGAGGATAGAACTTTTACCTGATCTAACCTGATAGAACCGTGGCTTGATGAGACCTTTGCTTAACTGATGGAACTTCTGTTTGATGACTCACGTTTTGAACTTTTGGTTGATGTGACTGGGTTGTACTTTTATTGATTTGATCTGAGGAGACTTTATTGAGAGCTATTATCTGATTTGGTTACATTATGGGGGAGCGTGAATTGCTTATGATTGAATGACAGGGCTGTGTTGCTAAGGGAACTAACTGAATGAAAAATTTGAATCGATCTCAAACGCTTAGGAAGAATGTGAACCGTTAACAGCAAACTATGTGATTATAAATGCCTTTTCACCATACGCCTATAACCGATGGGAAACACGCGAATGCAATTATGGAATTTGGTCACTTATGTTTGGAGAATATGGGGATTACTGTATATATGACATGTGATTAATTACCCGGTATTACCGTTTTGACCATAAACTTGTTTGACTAGGGAATGATTGCTTTGGTGTTACTGTACTTCAAGACCGATGGGATTTGTGACAATAGGCTGGTTTGATTATAAACTCTGACTACCTGGGGGTATATGTAATCAGTAGGACTGCTCCTGCATTGACACATAGTACGATTGAATTTGTGGGAACTGAGGCTGATGAATAGTATATGAATGATTACCTCAGAATTTCATTTACAGCTATGGGGTCAATATATGAAATTACCTTGTATTCCTGATAACTTCAGAATGACCTGGATTAACTGTAATAAGATTACCAGATTGAAAACCAAATCGAACAAGGACCGGATGGACGACTTGAGAGTGAGTAAATCAAGTCTCTGTGACTTAATAATGGGAAACAGTGTGAATCTATGACGCCCCATAAGTACTTGATATAAGCAATGTGAGTAATAACTTAATAAAGTTATGTCCAACTGTATTTATTTTCTGTGTGACAGAATAAGTTTTGTTTTCTGAAATGCTATATCTTATATGCTAAATGATTGTCCAATTTGTGATATGTATTCGTGGTATCCTTAGCATCATATAACATGCATCCCTTTATGGGTCATCAGGTTCCTTTATGGGTCATCGAATTTGTTAGTGCTAATGAATGCACCATGTATGCTTAAGCAAGAATTGTGACATCTGTGTATGATCTGGACAAGAATGTGAATATGAACCTGGATATGAATCAGTTTCTGATTAAAATCTGAATGAGTATAAGACTCTGTTTTAATACGAACCCTAATCTCTGTATATGATTTGCGATTCTGTTTCTGTGCGAAGCTAAGGTCGAGATTGGGTTATGAGCATATTTATGAATATGGTTATGCTTCTGTTTTGTATAGAATTACAGTTATATTTTTGATGGACATCATTTCTTTTGATATAAGATAACTTGAGTTTAGAGGACCAAACTTTTTAAGGTGGGGAGACTGTAATAAATCCGATCCACAGTTAGCCACTAATCAGTAATTGAGGATGTTAATGAGAGGATTAAAATAAATTATGTGTTTATTATGTATTTTGCTTGATATTTGGCTTTCTATCTGTTACTTGTAGAAATATCTGTTTGAATTTCCGCTTTAATATGTAAATTGAAAGCCTTATCGGCATCTGAATCCGGAATTAGTTACGTTAATGTGTTATTTAGAATTTTTAGAACCTTTTGGAAAATTTTATTAAAAATTGATTCAAAACGATTAATTAAGTTGCGTTTGGCAAGTCTTATGTTTTAATTAATGTATTTTAGCCTCATAACTATATATGCATCACATTTAGCTCATTTGAGCTCATTTCTTTCATTTCCCCTTAGTGCAAAAATCTGAGAGTTTGTTTTAGAGAGAGAGAGAGTGCAATTCTAGAGAGAGAAAGGTAGAGATTAAAGAGAAATTGAAGGCTATAGCTTGAATTGATCAAAGATTGTGCAAATATTTAGCTATTGAAGACTCTAGGTAAGATTACAACCTCTAGATTGTGTAACTAAGTCATTTAACATGAAATTTCTTCAAGATTAAGAGTTTAAATGTGTACATTGAGCTTAGAATAAAGATTTGAGTTGCAATTCATGTATGCATGTGCATTTTCTCACAAATTGAGCATGAACTCCAAGAATTCTCTCATGCATGTTTGAAATTCATCTTAATTATGGGAAATCTTCAAGTTTCAAGTTGTTTTGTGGTGTTTGATCATGTTTTGAGAAGTTTGATGCAAGAAAAATCCATGCATGTTGTGTTCATAAACATTCTTGAAGTTTAAGTTGAAATTGGGAACTTTTGGCAAACTATTGGGCCATGATTTTATGAAATGATCCTAAATTCTTCATGTTTTACAAGTTCACTTTGTTATCTCAAGTTTTGGGGGCCCAAGGGAAGTGTTTTGGATGGTGAAATTCGAGTTTTGAACATGGGAGGTCAATCTGGATTTTCCAGAAATTTGACCCACGCTCGAGCGGGGACTTTCACGCTCGAGCATGAACCCTAAATACATGCACCACGCTCGTGCGTGGGTCGAGCGCCCGTCGAGCGTGAAAACCTTGCATCCAGTACTTTTTGAGTTTAGGGTCCGCTCGAGCGGGGAAATCCACGCTCGAGCGTAGCCTTTATTGTCTGCATGTCCGCTCGAGCAGGAAAACCCACACTCGAGCATAGACCTCATTTTCAAAAAATTTGACTAAGTGTTCCAATTCATGTTTTGGCATCTTCATTGCATCTTAGGCATTCCTAAGACCTAATTAAGCTTTGATAATGAGGTTATGGATTAGAAACACACTAAGTGAAGAATGTACTAAGTTATGAGATTCAAGAGTGTGTTTTGAGCAATGTGTTAAGCAAGAAACCTATGTAATAAAAAAGCTAAGCCGTGTTGGCCATGTGAATGTGTAATAATGAGATATGTTGTGTTATGTACCTTTGTGTTTGTAGGTCAACGTCTGAAGATTGATTAACTATTTGCAAGAACCACTGTGAATAACGTTATCGTAAAGATACGTTCATATGAATTATGTTCCAAATGAAGTATGATAAGCTATGATTTCTGAAATGTTATCTGTTTATGTGAACGAACATTCAAAGTTTAAAATCTATTATGGCATCCATAGATAGTCCCAAGTCATGGGGGACGGCATGAAAATGCGGGTCCATGACATACAAGTAATTACGAGATCTCGTTAGCCACTTCATTGTGGTGATATGTGTTTAATCGGTATCCGGAACCGATTACTCTAGTCAGAAGACGTTCTATGATGTGTTCTATGGGATGTACTATTATTATGTTCTGATATGAGAACGATTATCACTACAAGAAATTAATCTTTTAGCATCTAATATTTAAGGACTAATTAAATTTAGTCCCTAAAAATAATCTTTTAGAGACAAAACTAAACTTGTGATAATTTATTCATAAAACTATCAAAATGACTCTTGATATTTCCTATTAGGCTGTGTAACTTTTTGAGACCAATAATTTTGGTGGTCAACACATATTATTGGCATTTTTTAGGGACCAAATAATGAAAAATTACAAAACCTCACCTGATGCAAATACACACTGAAAACCGTACCCAGGCTTCACGATGTGCAAAAACTTCTCTCTCTATTTGTCAAGCTCCATCGCAAGCTTCATTGTAGGTCTTCGCTCTGTCCATCTCGAGCTCCATTGCAGATCAGTTTGAGATCTACAATCTTCAGTAGATCTACCTTGTTCTTCACATTTTCTGTAGATTTGGTGCGTCTCTCTCTCTCTCTCTATATATATATATATATATATCTCTGCCTATACATATACATATGTATATATATATATATATATATATTGTAGATCTATGAATAAGTAGTTCACATTTTTGTTCGATTGGCCTGCAGATTGTCATGGATGCAGTTTTTCTATAGGTTGATTCTTCACCTTCTTCTTCATTTTTTGCAGATTTCTGCTACTTTGAAGACATCGATTGGTTAATTCACTCTCTATCAAGGTATTTCTCGATCCTTCAAGTAGTATTGAGTTTTTAATACAGAGTGTAGCCAAAAATTAGTTTTAATGTCGAATTAATAAAATTCCATGTAACTCATTCTGTTTGATTTTTGTTTATTTCATCATTTTGATGTGAATTTTAATTTTAGGTATTTCTCAATCCTCTTGATGTGAAATTTTAATTTAACTCAGGTTTGTTAAAAGAACTAGGCCATATATGTTCCCGGTTCTGTGTTGGCTGGAACATCTTCGGGGAGAGGTGAAGATCCTTGACAAGGATCTGATTTCCCCAAATAAATAAATAAATAAAAGTAATGCCAAACTCTAATATAACATGAAATATCATTGAAGCTTAAAAATTACTCAAGTTGTATTTCTAGTCAGTGTGGAGAGAGCACAATCATCTTGAAAATTACCAGTGATTTCACATTTTCAACTTCGCTTTGAACTAGAAAAGATCTTTATTTTTGTGATTGCCCTAGAAGAGATTGAAAATTATAAAAAAGGAAGATGGTTGAATATTTTACACAAAGGAGGACCACAAGAAGCATTTATTCATGCCTAATTCAATCATTCACCACCAACTCAACTTCTCAAAACTAAACGGTGGGCAATGTGTGCCATTAACTTCTATTTATCCTACCCTTCTTCTAAAGCAAGAAAAATACACAGAAAAAAAAAATCAAAAAAATATGTACAAAAAAGTTATAAGAGAAATGTGTTAGTGAGAAAAACTCCAAAAAAAATTGTAAAAATATAGAAATTCAAGTGAAGTAAATACTTTAATTTAAATAAAATCATAATTTTTACTTGAATCGTAGTACGAAATAAATGTAATTTTCTCGAAAATTATTATATAGCCTAAATTTAAGTGCAAATGGATTTGTATTATGGTAGAAACTAGCCTATCACCCGTGTTATGCACGGAATAATTATAAATATGTATATTTGTTTTAGATTTTTTTAATATATAAATTATGTTTTTTAAGATTTTTGATAAAAATAATTTAACAATTTTATCACTAACCAT